TATAAAAAAACAATTGAAGACTGCCGTCACGAAGACACGGTGTCACGTTTAGGATGAAAATAACGGTTAGTTAAATAAATTACTCGTAATAAAAAAAACTTATAATAATTTTTAAAAATCATCACAATTAACTCCACAAAAACTCGAAAAAGTAAACCTACTCGCAGTTTTCGGTAACTTAGAAACAGCCTTCATATTAAGCCGTGAACGAATCTATAACAAAATAGGGTTTCTCTACCACGAAATCTAATTATGTTTTAGGAATGGCAAATTTTAACTCAAGGCAATGCGAAATGTTTAATATTTTCCCCATCCACGAGGATAATGTCCAATATTTCGCTAATAATATATGGACGGAGTGCGGACGTGATTAATGACATGTTACTGTTCACCGGAAGCTAATAAATAATTAATGGCTTCAATTGCCCTAAGTGTATCAATCAACCCTTTCTTTTATCATGAACACATTAATATATATCGGCCATGCATTGCATTGCTAAATAAAGGATCGGTGAAAGACGAGTTATTAAACCTTAACCTACACTTGTCTTATTTATTCACAAGTAATACAGGTATATGAAGTCTTATGTTACTTTTTTAAATTAAATTATCGAGAAAACGTGTCCTAGCAAATCGGTGGTATGGTATGCGCAATACCCACAAATGACGTCTTAATGCGCGCTGGAGGACAGAAGAAAAATATATATTGTTTTAAGTGATTCCATACCTTTGACATTAATCTTCATCTATTCATTAAAATTTATATCAGAGATTAAAACACGTTCTCTCTGCCTTATGTGCAGGTCATTACTGAGAGATGACACAAATGCCGCTGTTCTTTTATATATAAGTATATGTATTCTAGATTAGTGGTGGTAGTATGTATAAGGTACTATTGTACGTGATATATAGAGGATTTAGAAATCGCTCCAGAAGCTATAACGGGAATAAGCTAAGTTACAACAGAATAAGAAAACAAAGGAATTGACTAAGTATTAATAGTTTTTCAGCTTCTTTCATAAACACGGACGTAATATGAAGTTAGACCGTGGGATCAGCGCGACAGTTGATTTTAAATTACTATCTATAACGAAAAACATTAAGCAAACTTAAAAATTATTTTCAAAAGTTCTACCGCTTTATATTAAAAGCTTTCGAAGCTTCTACGTGGTAACAGAATGTTCGCAGTACGACAAAGAAATTGAGGGTTAGGTTACACCCCTTTCACCAATAAACCCTGCAATTGGATCAGTCTGGTCAGACCCCTTTCAGGATATACTAAATTATAGACTACGTATTGATTTCCACAATTTCCCGGGATACAAACAAAAGCGGCACGTCATTAAGGTTACTATTGGACATGTTGGAGCATCGCGTGTGGGGTCGCCGCAATATGTTTGTCGTATGAACAAATAACGATCTGATCTAATCAACTATACCTCTAGGTACGCTAGGACTTTCTAAGAAATTGATCCTCAGTTTCCCTGTATTGGCTATGGCTCATTACTGCGCATCACAAATTTGATGCAATATAAATTTTCTAACTCAACAAACAAAATCATGAAAGTCAATGTTTTTTACGATTATTCCATTCAATTCAAACAACCATTCAACTAAGATCTATATTAAAATAAAATATTATAAAGAGGAAAGATTTATCTGTTTGTTTGTATTGAATAGGCTGCGAAACTACTGAACCGATTTGAAAAATTCTTTCACTGTTTGGAAGCTACACTATTCCCGAGTGACATAGGCTATAACCTTTTTTGAAGGTGTAAAAAAATTTCCTAAAATATTCTTTACATCGCGTGCCCTGCGACAACCATTGATGATAGAATAAAATAATGTACTACGACTTTGTAGTACACATTATTATTTACAAAAAATGTCATAGTTATGTCGCAATAAGTGTCCTTTTATTTAAAAAATAAAACAACGTTAAAAATCGTTGAATTTTTTGTTAAAGACCCGAGCGGAGCCGGAGCGGGCCGCTAGTATTAAAATAATTCTATTAAGTTAAAGATGTTTCTAGTAGCTTGTCAATGTTCACAATTACGGCCCAAAACAGGCCTAAAAAGGTTGGAGTTTCCAGAATTAAAGTCGACGGCAATCGGGGCCAAAGCTTGTTTAAATGAATTGCACCAAATATTGGAGAAAAGCTGGTAGGCGTTGATTTTGTTAGTATTAAATACGCCATAATACAAATACATTTTTTGTATTGAATGATTTGAGACTAACTGAAATATTGGGCATACTTAAAACTTGTATCTTCGTTAAGTACCAAAATAGATTATTTAAGCGAGGTACTGCGCCTAGAAAATGTTCGAGTGAGCCAGACACCACCACACCTACGGTTTAAAAACACGCATTACACAAAAGCATGCAACATTGCATGTCCCATCCTTAACACACTATGTATGGTCAAGGAATTTATACATTTGCTTTGTAATCAGAGGAAGTGCATTAGTGACCATAATGAAGGGTTCAATGTTTTCATATATGGCACCGTGGTTTATTGTTTGCTTAGAGTGATTGTATGCATGTTGTACAGCATTTCCTTAATGATTAATTTTAGTTTTTGAATAGCCACATTTTTTCTCTATTTCAGATGATGCTTTGTAGGCAGATGAGTATATGGCTCTCCTGATAGTAAGTATTCACAGACGCTCATAAACTTCAGTAATGCTAGGAGCTTAGCCAAGAATCGACCCAGTAAACTGATTCCTACCTCTTGTGTTTGAGGATCAGAATTTCTTCACTCTTGCAAGTTATATTGTAGGATAATTATTTGTTTCTGATGCCTGAACCCTGTCCGAAAATCTGTCTTCTTATTATGCACTAAAGAATAAGGCAGACAAGAAAAAAAAAAATTCTATAGTTAATTTTTTTGTAACAAGACTGCTTTAAATAAGGACCATAATTATAATATTTTCTTACTAACTATACTTGCTTATCAATCAAGGTTGTTAAAGATAAAATGTAAAACTAGTTTTTATTGGAAATAATACTTTTTATTATTGATAATTAATTATCAAATCAACCAAAACACTTTCAAGAAATTGTGTACATGGGGGATTGCTTTCCAATCCGTACAAATTTAATACAAGCAGTGTGTAGTGAATAATTTTTTTTTTTTTATATTTGAGAGATTACTGGTGGCCCGGAGGCCTTTCCAGTTTTACCAGGGCAGGTGGGCGAGCAGGGGCTCAGCCAGGAGGGAGAATTGAATGAATATGCCTTTTTTTTAAGAATTTGGCTCCAACACCTTTGGCATTGATTTTGCCAATGTCAAAGTATGTACAAAAATGACAGGTGCTTAGAGGAAAAAATTTACACAGAATATTTATCTGTTTAGAATAGATTAAAGTTAATAAAGAATTAATATTAATAGGCCGGGGAATGTCATTTGGAAGTATATCATAAAGAGGGGATACCATATTGGGGCAGTCGAAGAAAATGTGATCCAGGGTACCCTCATCTAATCCACACTCACCAAGAGAATGGTCACGGAGAATATGTCTATTAAAAACTCAGATGTGCTTAGTGTGAGTGTTTGTTGGACTCCAAATAGTTGCCGATGCAAAATGACCAAAGTGGAACCCGTACATGTACATCATTGCACTACATCCACATAACACTAAAGTTATTTAATTTAAATTGAAACAGGAAAGCAGCAGTTTATTTAAATACAAATTTTGAGGATTTAAAAGTGATGTATGTGGACAATATTATTTGTGTTTTTTTATTTCAAATAAACACTAATTTATGGAAAAATTCAATAAATCATTTGAATAAATTAATCATTTTCAATTATTCTCATGTTAGATATCATATACCGTTGAACCTATACATTTCCCATTGTTCTTTGAAGTAGATAGATGCTATACTTGTGTTCCTATTACAGAACATTATGTAAATTTTGGATACATTTTCCAAGTTTTTTTTTTTTTATGTTTGAAGGATTACTGGTGGCCCGGAGGCCTTTCCAGTTTCACCAGGACAGGTGGGCGAGCAAAGGCTCAGCCAGGATTTCCAAATGTCCAAATGTACCAATGATATGGTGTTTATGTACACATACCACTAGTACATACTATTGAGTGGTGTTGGATTTGTGTTTATAAATTTGACATTAAGGTGCATTCCAATTTTATCATAAAAAAATTTCCCAATAATGATTGGTGTTGCTTTACTTTATCATAAAAATATTTCATTTAGTAATCATAGCCTAAGTACATTATATACAGTTATTTATTTGCATCACTATATCGTAGTGATTGCAACATGCAATACTTGAATCACAGACCCTATTATAAACCCACTTAAGGCAAGTTTGTAAATCTCGATTCAAACTTGTCTGTAATTTGTACACAATAGCCAATCCTAGATAATTTACATTAAGCCATAAAAGGTATAAAAAAAATCAGCTACGTACAACGCTGTGGATCTAGGGTATAATCAAAAACGATGAAGCTTGAAAATAAGAGAAAAAAAACGATAAAATGTAGGTCAAGCGAAAACTGCAAAAAAAAAACTCTAAGACCATTTGTAAAGCTACAATTATAAGTCATTTTGATCGTTAACTGTAAAATTGTACAGTAAACAGACATCGTCGTGTTCACTTCGTCTATTTCATGTGATAGGCACCATTGCGGTGATTTTTTTCTATTCTCTGAGAACCGCATTTTCAAATCCGGAAAAATCCGATTATAACGTATTTCTTATGCAAAAATGTGGTTCTTATTTGCGCATCGGAAACCTTGTCCTATGCCACCGAGGCACAATGACCTTTAATAAAATCTTGAAAAATAACGGCTTGAACAGTACGACCGGCATCACAGATTCTAACAAAGAAACGCTGTATTCGCCTGATTAATTTTCTAAAACCAATATGGAAAACTCATATTGGAAAATAATAAATAGTATAGTCTTCAAATTTAAGGGAAGGATGAATAGTGTTCTAATAAAATGAAATTAAAAAGAAATATTCAAAGATTACTCACCACTTCACACAAGTCTTCTTTTTGACGGAATGCGAAAAACGAGACAAAAGACCGAAAGTTATTTATTGCCATGTGATAAACAGTAATACTACCAATTTTAGCGTATGTAGTAGCTTTCAACTAATTTCATTAGAGCCTCCACGAAAATCCATTCGGTAGCTAACTTTCTATCTTTCGGCATGAGTATTTTTCAAGATGAAAGGTATCTTTTGTTCTTTTTGTAACCCTGGCCACTTCCGACGTGCACGAAAATCTTCATGACGATTTTATAAGTGAATATTATGTTTTTTATTTATTGCTTAGATGGGTGGACGAGCTCACGGCCCACCTGGTGTTAAGTGGTTACTGGAGCCCATAGACATTCACAACGCAAAAGCGCCACCCACCTTGAGATATAGGTTCTAAGGTATAGTTACAACGATTGCCCCACCCTTCAAACCGAAACGCATTACTGCTTCACGGCAGAAATAGGCAGGGTGTTTTTTTTTTTTTCGGGCCGGTGGCCGAACCTCCTACGAGGTCCCCGCGCATAAGGGGCGCGCGGGGTATGTGAGACTCAACGATCTGCAGGTGTTGAGAGCAGATCGCGGGCCCAAGGATTTTTTAAAGATATAAGGGTGGTGGTACCTACCCGTGCGAACCTACAAGAGGTCCTACCACCAGTAACACGGGTCAACACCAAATTTGACTTTGATTGCAAAGCATAACATTTCGATATTTTAGATCTTAATTAGACGGAAAAAAAAACATGGCATGAAACAGTTTGCTTTTGAACTTTAATAAATTGACCACATATAAAACAAAATGCATCAGCATCGCATTTGCACTTTCGTGACATTTAAAGTTTTTCTGGGCTTGTACAAACACCTGATCGTTGTTTATGACTCGAGTGCCATCTAGTAGCACTGTGTAAACGTAAACACCTCACTCTCATAGCGCGGTTTTTTTAAAGTATTAAAATTAATTAAAATTTATAAAAAAATTGAAAAATGGGTATTATTACTTTAACTATCACAAAAGCAAACTTTATACCAAAAAAAATAATTTTATTTTCGTTTTTGTGAATAATTAACCAGAAAAACATAGTATAAACGTTAGGACAAAGAACGATTTTTTGTAGAGTTGTGTAATTTTTTCGTTTTAATATGGTTTTTTATTGCCTTTGTAGGCAGACGGGCATACGGCCCACCTGATGGTGAGTGGTTACCGTCGCCCATGGACTTCAGCAATGCCAGGGGCAGAGCCAAGCCGCTGCCTACCGCTTAATACTCTCCACAAGCCTCGTTTGAAGAAGGACATGTCATAGCGCTCGGGAAACACCGTGGAGGGGAGCTCATTCCATAGCCGGATGGTACGTGGCAAAAAAGATCTCTGGAAACGCACTGTGGATGATCGCAGTGGCTCCAGGTAGTATGGATGAACTCTACTCCGGTGGCGGGCGGTGCGATGGTAAAAACGAGATGCTGGTATCATCTCGAACAATTCCTCAGAGCACTCCCCATGGAACATACGGTACAAAATACAGAGGGAACCGAAGTCCCTCCGCAGACCCAGAGGCTCCAAATACTGTTTTAATACTAGTAATCATTTAAGATTAAATGTGCTTTAAATTGGTTCCCTTCCAGAGACAGTGAAAAAACCTTAGTAATTAGACGCTAAAATGCGAATACTGATGCCCACTTATGTGTTTCAAGCTCAATTTGCATTGAAATAACAACAGTCTTTCTTCTTAAAATCTTTGAAACAGCAAAAAAGATTTATTTCGAAATTCAATGCTGATTTCTTGTACTAATTTAGTAGAAAACTTTCTTGATGACAACTGTAAAATTTACCGGAAAAAGCCAGTTACGGTACATCTTAGATTAGTCGTTCAAAAACCTATTCGAAATGATTGACACTTCAACTTAAATAACATTAATTTTATTTTTTTAATAAGCTACATAAATTATAAATATATTAATTAAATCGTGGTCAGTTTCTTGGTAACGTTTATAGTGGTATACATTAAACTTTCTTGAGGGCAAAAAATTGGGGCTTATTTGTGTAAAAGTTTCCGTAAATAAAATTATTTGAAGACATCGTTACTATAATTTTTTTTATTAGATTTGAAAGGAACCACCAAAATATTGTAAATAGCTGTTACTGTTTTTAAGATAATCCTTAATGTGGTGTACTTGGGATTAAGGATCAGGGTGTAATTTTTATTACGTGACCAACTATTAAGACTAAGTAGGTATCAACTTATGCCTCAATATTAAGTGTATAATCTATGTACGTGACAAAAGCTGCATGCGCCACTTTAATACATTGCTTTGTAAAGCTCATTTATCAAAATATAATTTTACAAAATATAAAATAAACTTAACATATAAAAGATTTTTTTTTTTTACGTTAATGTTAATAATTGTATGAGGAAAATGGTTATTAATTAATAAATAAAACTGTGTACGGTGTACATATATTCGTACGTAAGATGTACTACTTCTTTGGCAATATTGAATTATTTACCAACTGAACAGTAAAAAAAAATATTTTTATATATTTTTCAACAACTTCATCCAACTTCAAAAATACCGTGTAGTGCAACCAAATACACAGTTATAATTTCACTACATTTGCGCGTTATTAAACCACTCAATGGCGTCTGAGAAGTATAATTTCTTATGTGCGAACTTATGTACAGACGCGTTTGATTTATGTATTTTTATTATTTTTACTTTTTTTATTAAAAAAAAGAAATGTTTTACTAATAACTAATAACTACGTAAATATGTACCTCGAATTACACACAGTTTTAAAAATAAGTACAATTCTACTTCTAAACATTCTGTATTGTGATCTTAGTCAATGAATAGGAAATTAGTTAATTTGTTGCCCTAAGAGATTGATTCTCATAAATAATTAACTAATAAATATTTTTATAAAAAATTAAATGCAAGCATCTTTATGAGTAAAAATAAGGCTGAAGAATCAAATAGATACTTTGAAATAGTAAACCAAAACTGAAACTTAGTGGGCGAGTTCATTATACAATGGTTTTAGTGTTGCAAGTATTTTGAAGCAAATACCTGATCGCGTAAATACGCACCTTTCATTGTACCACAACACTATTTCTCTACTAAACATTCTTGGTAGATGGATTAGTTCAAAACGAATCAAAAATAATTAATGAAAATGGAAGCAACCGCTGAAGATACACCAAAAGACAGTGCCGAAAATGTTCTACCTGAGAATAATATCGCTGTAAGTGAAATCAGAGTCGTAATTGCTGGAAGTTTATAAATAGATGATAGCATATCATGTGTCGGCTAACTTGTTTCATTTTAATATAGAAATATATCGATATTTTATTATTTCAAGCTTTATTGTTCATACTCATCACTTGTTGAATACAATATACTTTAATTTTGCTTGGTTTTCTGTTAAAATCTTATTAAAATCGAGTAAAATCTTTAACCTAAACAAAACTGGCATAATGCCAATGTTTTTATGATATTTTTGTTCTGTAAACGTTTCACGTGCTTTCTTCTTTTATGGTATAAGATATCAATATATAGACCNTATTTCAAGCTTTATTGTTCATACTCATCACTTGTTGAATACAATATACTTTAATTTTGCTTGGTTTTCTGTTAAAATCTTATTAAAATCGAGTAAAATCTTTAACCTAAACAAAACTGGCATAATGCCAATGTTTTTATGATATTTTTGTTCTGTAAACGTTTCACGTGCTTTCTTCTTTTATGGTATAAGATATCAATATATAGACCGGTTAGATTTAAACCTAGATTTCGTCATCAGTATGCAATAATTATGTCGCAAATGTTGTAATTTACGTTGTATACTTTAAACGCCCAATTGTCCTCACCATTCCTTCAGGAAAGCTTATGGATTATTTAGATAAATGTTGGATCCTCCGATTATTTTGACTTTCGTTAGCCCATACAATATACAAATTTATGAAATAATTTATTAGATTGATTGATGATTTTTGGATCTAATTGAGATGAAATTTTGCTACAGACCTACAATATTGTATTCTGAACATGCTAAGACACATAGCAGCAAACGAACAGTAGATTCAAAATTTTTTTATTGGTAAATTCATATTTTTCATTAAGATTTAAATCAAACAAATTACAATTTAATTAATTAAGTAATTATTGTATTAATTGACATTGTCTTCTTCTTAATGACAATCTAAAGGAAAAGCCGACAGCAGCTGTGCCGGAAACCTCAAGACGACCAAAACGTGATGACCGTAACAAAAAAGATGAAAAAACTGTTGAACAATTCATTAAATCTTTAAACTCAATTCCCACAATGGAAGAAAAATTATTAGTAGTCAGCAAAAAATATGTACAGGCTTCCGAAGATAATAAAAAAATGCAGTTTTACATTAAACAATCAGACAAACGCTATGCTTTATTGCTGAAAGAGAAGGAACAGTTGCAGTTGGAATTCAACAAGACAATATTATTAAAATCTAAACTGGAGAACCTTTGCAGAGAATTGCAGAAACAGAATAAGGCGATAAAGGTTTGGTTTCTAAACTTGTATTTGTACTCGAAATTTTATGCATCCTTTATATGGGCCTACAAATTCATTTATATGTCTATATTCTCAGTATTAATGGTGGTTACCACTAGAATTATAAAATCAATGCAAAGTGACTGCTATGAGGCAAAAATGCGTTATACTTTTTTTAATGGTAAAAAAGTTAATGTAAATATGATATAATAGATGATAAATCCTACCAATAGATGATCAATTGAAATTACAACTTTACGTCGCTGCAAATTGAACTCGTCAAACTATGAAAAATTTAATAAATTAAAATAGGATAATAGTAGATCAACAGTACCTGCTATCGACTTTACTAGGATGTGACAATTGTCTCGAACATGTCGTAGCATGGCATGAAATATTCATTCCTTCATACTTTTAAATGTCCCAAAAAAGAAGACAGATTGACACAAAATATGATAAATTAAATTCTTCTTTTTATTTGTTGTTCCATCATTATTGAGGATCCTGACAACATGTATGTAATAATTCCCATGAAGATTAAAATTTATTTCCTAGAAAAAATCCTTATAAATTCCTAGTGTATGTTTAATACTGAATGGGACTTCTCAGTTGATCCATACTAATAACAACAAGTCTTACATGTGATACGTCCGCAGATATACATAGTTACACACAGTTAAATATACAAAAAATATATATATATATGTATTTTTTCAGGAAGAGTCTCTTCTGAAAATTAGAGAGGAAGAAGAACGCTGTAAAGAGACTCAGAGTAAATTTCAGAACACTTTGACAGAATTTACAACTCTACTCCAACAGAACAACGAGAAGAATGCAAAACTTCGCGATGACAATATCAGTATGACCGAGAAATTCAAGAGTGTTGTGACTCAGTACCAGTTGAGGGAACAACAGGTAAAGTGTGCATCATTCTATTCCATACTAGCTTTCCATCCAGAGCTTTGGTTGCTTGGATTAAACTTGATATTGACTACGTTACGCCAGGGTTTTCACACATAAGATTTATTACAATGAAAATACAATACAATTACATATATAAAACATTAACATTACTTGTTTATAACAAAAAGCTACATCTTAGTTTTTACACAATTAACCATTTTGTGATGGTTATAGCAACTATAACTTCTTTTATACAAACAAATGTAATTACTATGAAACAGTTCACAAAATATAGCTTAATATTCACAATACATATTTTAGTGATTTTTATGTGACTGACATTAATTTATTTTACATGAATTACTTTTAACTAATCTAAACTAACATTGTTATTATCCAGCCTAATAATAGATGGCGCTAACATCATTTTTATAACAAATACAATACCTAATTAATTTATTACTGTCTATTATAATATAAATTATTATTAATATTTATGCTTTATTAATATTTAATTATTTATAGACTCATTTGTGTTTTTAAACAATAATATAAACAATAATCATATTCTGAACATTTTCACACCAAAACAGATGAAACAGAGAATTGATAAAGTAATGAAGTTTGAGTCGAAATACAAATTAATATTTTCTTCAGAGTTCTGTGTTGTTAGATTGTGTTACATTATTTTATTATAACTCAGTATTGCAACATTACTACTACCATACTTTCTAATGATAGACAGTCGCATTAGATTGAAACTGAAGATATTCATATGTCTCAAAATAGTTATGTTATTGTTTAATTTTAAGTTACAAATTGAGTTCATTACTATTGTTCTACTTATTTAAAAGAATTATGCCATGAAATCTACCAACTTTTCAAATATTTTTCAGGTTGACAAAATGGCAAAACAAATGGCATTAGAATCTCAATTAGCGGATGCCAAGCTTCAGAAGGCAAGCCTCGAGCACCAAGCCGACAGAGAGAGGCTCATGGCCGAGATGGAACAGATGAAGGTGAACCTAGCCCAGTACAGAGCTAAGATAGCAGAGCTTCAGGGCACTGAAACTAGTGAGTGTTCATACAAACACCGCTGCCGGCACACACACACATACTATTCCACCTGGAAACTATAGAAGGAATTGACCCAAATTTTTGCAAATTCACAATTAAACTACGTCAAGCAGCTGCCGGTCTGAACTGTACTGTGTCAATAGGACCACCACTGCACCCCAATTATAATTCAAACTACTTGAATGGTTTATTCTCACAGTTAATATTTCCATGTTATTACACCACGATACTGGTGGTAGGACCTCTTGTGAGTCTGCGCGGGTAGGTACCACCACCCTGCCTATTTCTGCCGTGAAGCAGTAATGCGTTTCGGTTTGAAGGGTGGGGCAGCCGTTGTAATTATACTTGAGACCTTAGAACTTGTATCTCAAGGTGGGTGGCGCATTTACGTTGTGGATGTCTATGGGCTCCAGTAACCATTTAACACCAGGTGAGCTGTGAGCTCGTCCACCTACCTAAGCAATAAAAAAAACCTCACATTTCGAATACTTGATTTTATTAACTACTAGCGACCCGCCCTCGCTTCGCTTCGGAAACATTAAAACATACATGAAACCAAAAAAATAAAATAAAAAAAAATTAAAAAAAAGTAGCCTATGTTCATCAGGGACAATGTCGGCTTCTAATGGAAAAAGAATTTTTCAAATCGGTCCAGTAGTTTCGGAGCCTATTCGAAACAAACAAACAAACAAATCTTTCCTCTTTATAATATTAGTATAGATGTTCGTTAATAAAGAATCTAATTAGTGATAATAATGTCCTACGAGTTGCATAATCCGCAGAGAATATTGAACCCTAGAGTCTGTAGGGAGATCGAACAGTTGATTGCTGAGCCGCGTGTTGTAGGTCTGCGGTCCCAGCTGGCCGTCTACACCGACAAGTATGATGAGTTCCAGAACGCGCTGGTCAAGAGTAACCAGGTCTTTGGGGGGTTCAAGGAGCAGATGGAAAAGGTACCCTAGTTCACCACAACAGTACGGGTTGGAAATTCATTTATCTATTTATTTATTTATACTTTATGCACAAAACAACAGTTGTACATAGGCGGACTTAATGCCATGGGCATTCTCTTCCAGTCGACGATAGGGTGGTGCAGAGATAATGCATGGTAGGTGCATTAACAAAACAATAACAAACAACAACAAAAAACAAAAAAAAGAACAAAATCAAAACAAAAATCTTCGATAAAGTAACATCTCAGTATTATAGAATACACATTTCATCTGAGCTGTCTCTGTCTATCTACTCTCAGCTGTAGCAATATATTGTCTTAAACAATTTGAAGGATATACTTACTGATTGCAACGATCCCTGCACTCACCATGCTTGTGTATCTCTTTGAACAGATGTCAAAGAAAATAAAGAAATTGGAAAAAGAGTCTCTCACGTGGAAGCAGCGGTGGGAGACATCGAAGACGGCCCTCATAGACATGTGCGCGGAGAAGCAGGCCGGCGAGGAGCGGTCCGCCAGGCAACTACACCACATGCAGGGCCTCTGTCGGACGCTGCAGGTTTTTAAATTTTTTTATTGCTTAGATAGGTGGGCGAGCTCACAGCCTACCTGGTGTTAAGTGGATACTAGAGCCCATAGACATCTACAACGTAAATGTGCCATCCACCTTGAGATATAAGTTTTAAGGTCTCAGTATAGTTACAACGACGGTCCCACTCTTCAAACCGAAACGCATATATTGCTTCACGGCAAAAATAGGCAGGGCGGTGGTATCTACCCGTGCGGACTCACAAGAGGTCCTATAACGAGTAATTACGCAAATTATAATTTTGCAGGTTTGATTTTTTATTATACGATGTTATTCCTTCACCGTGGAAGTCAATCGTGAACATTTGTCAAGTACGTATTTCATTACAAAAATTGGTACCCGCCTGCGAGATTTGAACACCGGTGCATCGCTTCAACACGAATGCACCGGACGTCTTATCCTTTAGGCCACGACGACTATTACTACAGCTACCGTACTACATTAATGTTGTGTTTCATACCTAGTGTTAGAGTCAACGGGACCCCAGATTTATTTATTATAGTCTTCTTACAAATTACACAGTATAACCAAAACATTTGTAAGGTATTAAAAATATTAGCTTAAGTAATTTCTAGCGACAGCTATAAATCGCTGCAAACCATCATGGAATGTGTACTCCAGTGTGCTTAGTGAGTGTTTTTTAACGTTCTCGATAGCGTAAAAGTTAGCTGATATTTGTATGGAATGGGATCGTTTGCGTAAGTTTGCCGCTAGGGGCGCTGTTCCAACTGCATACAAAGTTGGATTAACTTTTACGCTATCGAGAACGTTAAAAAACTCGCTCTAAGCACACAGATGTAATCAATACGTCTGTTGTCGGCAGGCGGAGCGCGCGGTGCTGCTGAGCTCGCTGAAGGAGCACGGCATCGAGCGCCCGCCCCTCCCCGCCGCGCCCCCCGCACCCGCCGAGCCCCCCGCCGCACTCCCCGCCCCCGCGGAGCCGTCCGGGGAGAAGGTAATGGCAGCCACGTCCTAATGAACGTGTCCCTCACACTATAGTAGAATTCTTTTGTCCGTGCAGTTTGGGTCATAACTAATCGGAGCGGTGAAGCGAGTATTTCGCTCTCTCTTCCACTCACGAGCCTTATGAACGGGTATAGTGACGCGCATTGTTGTTTTCGATAAGCGTTATCGATAGTGTATTTAGTTTTGTCATTTTGTGGGTTAGTGATAAAAATTAAAGTAAAAATCACTAATCGAACACTTAAACCACATATCGCCGTAGCAAGTTAACGAGAACAGCAGAAATTAACATTTTGTAACTTTTCGGGATCTATTTTCATTTCAGTGAAATTTTTTAACACATTGTTGATAACAACACGTGCAAATATTATTTTGAATAAATAAAAATAATTCTACTATAGTCTAGCCACGCACTGGCACGCACAGTCCCTAAGCTCAGCTCAGTAGAGATACGGAAATAGTCAAGTCGGTGAGAATGTTGAGAGACGATAACGAATCGTCTTGTTAACGGTCACATTACCAGTGTTGCTTGTAGGGCTGCCTCGATCAACTACAAGTATTTCATTTTAATCAGTTACCGTAAAATGGGAAGAATTGGGACGCTTTTTAAGCTCGACATCGATTTTTATTGTTTTTTTTTGTAGATATAGTAATAAAACGGAGATAATGCGTACTATATAGTTTATTAAAGAATAAGCATAAAAAGTTACACAAAACTCACTTATCCCTATTCACCCAGGCGTTGGGTGAATCGGGTCGCTTAAGGGGACTATAGAGTTCTTCGATAGGGCTGGCACTATATAGTTGTTAGGTACCTAACTTTAGGTAATCAACTTTTTAATATCTTTAATGAGTTACAAAACTGATGATTAAATTAAACTATTTAATATACATAAACACTAAATAAAAGTCATTTTCAGTTCAACAAAGTTAAATCTAACAACTCAACAAACGTATTGTGACATCCCAGATTTGTCTCTATTCTAAGTCTAGTCCCTATTCTCCCCAATCTACTATACAAAATAAAATATAATTTTTCAATTGAATCCATAGGTTGAAGCGTTAAAACACAGGCTCTCTCAGATACAAGATCAACTTAAAATATTGAGAGAGACGCCGCCCCCGGCACAAGAGGAACCCCCGAAGGCAGAAAAATCAAAAAAATCCAAATCAAAGAAGAATAAAGAGAAGAAATCGCAGAGCTCACAGAAGAAGGACGCCGTCAAGCCTGAAGACAGCGCGGAGACTGAACTGCAACATGATGATGAGACCGACGGGAAACTTGCAGACGTAGGGGGGGAGCCGGTCGCCGCCCCCCACTGTCCCGGACGAGCTGACAGTCCTGTCAATAACAACTCTTGCGATCTAGAAGCTGCCAAATCGGACGACAGTCTAAACGTCAGTCCACTGCACGAAGCCAACAGTCCGCTACCGGAGCTATCACTGAGCGACCTGAAAATAGCAGCCAGCCCCCCGGGCGAAGCACCCGCAGCCCCGGGCGCCGCCACCAACGGCCTCCCGGACGCGCAGCCCGCGAGCCCCGCCGGAGACCAGCGGAGCGGCGAGGAAGTCACCACTATCTAATCTCAAATCTATCAACTGTATAGTTTTTTGTACTTTTATAAATATATAAGATTTTGTGATTATCATTTTCAAAGTACAAAACGTGTGCCGCTATTCGTTTAGCGTTTGTGCGACCCTCCCGCGACACCTGCACANAACGGCCTCCCGGACGCGCAGCCCGCGAGCCCCGCCGGAGACCAGCGGAGCGGCGAGGAAGTCACCACTATCTAATCTCAAATCTATCAACTGTATAGTTTTTTGTACTTTTATAAATATATAAGATTTTGTGATTATCATTTTCAAAGTACAAAACGTGTGCCGCTATTCGTTTAGCGTTTGTGCGACCCTCCCGCGATACCTGCACACAGCCTCTCTTCAGCGGAGACAGTCTCTGGTGTGTTTATACGGAAAAAGATTTTTTGAAATTTCACTTATTTGTTTTAACAGTGGCGGTAGATTGCGACGCAGTCTAGTAACAAAATGCAGGGTGAATGTTCAACTGTCAAGTGTCAGTGGATGACAGATTAACATAAACGTCAAAATGTAATGTTGCCATGTTTATACGGCACTTGTATAAAACACCCTGTAGCCGGCACATAGTGTTGCCTTGTTCTTACAAAAAGTAATTGCAATATTACAGTATTACTTTTTTGGCGACCAACAACAAACAACTCTCTCAATTCGAGCTGGTAAATGTTGTACCTTTATGGACGTCAAGCTGTGTCTTCATGAAGCTTACCCTTTATATTTTGTTTATGAAATAATTATTTACTGTAGTTCATGAATATTGAGAATTACAACTACATTATTAGATATAGGTACATTAAAGAATTACAGACAGTATTTTGATTCACAACTTTTGTAATTTTCCTTTTTTTTTTTTTTTTGACATTTCTAATGTTCGAGTCAGTAATAAAGATGAATGTTTAGAAAAAATGTGTTTCTCTAATTTACTTAGGCAAAGAAATAATTTATTTAGGCTTGTGTTGAATCAAAAAATCCTTTGTGTTGAGATTTTTTTTTTTCCCTTATAGGCAGACGAGCATACAGCCCACCTGATGGTGAGTGGTTACCGTTGTCCATGGACTTCAGCAATGCCAGGAGCAAAGCCAAGCTGCTGCCTATCGCTAGACACCTATAAACCAAGGAAATTGGTGAAATGCTTTATCGTCGTCATCTCGTGTTCAGTTTAGTGTCCGACAATTAACATTCCGGTGACTTCCGTTAATGTGACCACGGACGAGCAGAACGACCGCGGGTAAACGACGATTCATTCTCGAATATGAATATTTGAGTGCTAGCAACTGATCAAAGTCACACACGGTAGAAGTGAAACTAATAAATAATAATAAATACTGACTATCCCACTACACAGCATAATATACGGACAATGTTTAGTAGACGATAGTGGGAATGCTACGAAGAGTCGCACAAAGAAGAGACCGAGAACGTCTAATGTGTTCTATCTCATTCTCTCGCCGGCTGAATCCTATACATTTATGTGTTTGTGTCTCTATGGACTTATTTTTTCGTTTCATCGAGTTTGAAATCACAACGATTCTTAAAGAAGTTTCAATTCAATTATTTAATGTTTCAAAAATGGGACTGTAGATGAAATAACTCGCTGTCTCTCTCGCACGCCCGCATTTTGGTCGCAATGACGTCACGAGCCGTTACGCGCGTCCAATATCTAGAACGGTTATGGATGGATTTGTGCATTAGGATAAATAACTTTTATAGTGAGGGGTAGATCTCAGGGGTATTTTTATTCAATAAAACTGGGTTAGTCACCAGTATCGAATTTCGAATTCTAATCTTTCTTAAACACAAACAATTTTCAATTTTAAAACGATAATTACATTCCGACGCAGGCGCACGCTATTCACACTCAAAACGGAAGCGCCCGGAACATAGATTATACACTCTGTTAAAAGACGGACATAGATACTAGCTATGATAGATATGATAGATAGATACTAGCTTCACTGCGAAGAAGGACCCTTTTGTCATGGCGCCGGAATTTCAAGGAGTATCCCTGCAGCTTTCCGCGAGTATCTGGATTTTGGGGGTCGATACTTCGAGCGATGTCCAGTTTCGGAGTCATTTGGAAGGTAAAGCCAAATTGGCCTCTAAAATGTTGGGAGTTCTCAACAGAGCGAAGCGGTATTTCACGCCTGGACAGAGACTTGCGCTTTATAAAGCGCAGGTCCGACCTCGCGTGGAGTACTGCTTTCACCTCTGGGCCGGGGCTCCCAAATACCAGCTACTTCCATTTGACTCCATACAGAAACGGGCTGTTCGGATGGTCGATAGTCCTGCTCTCGCGGATCGCTTGGAACCTCTGGGTCTACGGAGGGACTTCGGTTCTCTCTGTGTTTTATACCGCATGGTCCATGGGGAATGCTCTGAGGAATTATTCGAGATGATTCCCTCATCTCCTTTTTATCATCGCACCTCCCGCCATCGGAGCAGAGTTCATCCATATTATCTGGAACCGCTGCGTTCATCGACAGTGCGTTTCCAAAGATCTTTTTTGCCACGTACCATCCGGCTTTGGAATGAACTCCCCTCCACGGTGTTTTCCGAGCGCTATGACATGTCCTTCTTCAAACGAGGCTTGCGGAGAGTACTTTATGGTAGGCAGCGGCTTGGCTCTGCCCCTGGCATTGCTGACGTCCATGAGCGACGATGACCACTTACCATCAGGTGGGCCGTATGCTCGTCTGCCTACAAAGGCAATAAAAACAAAATGTATAGCGAGCGGGCATACGGCCGCGAGAGTGACGTACGGGTCGGTTTGCTATACTTTTTAATTATAATATGAAATAAAAAGTTTTTATGCAATTTTGATTTGCCGAGCGATACTGAAAATGTAAAATGTAGCCTTTCGCTAGCGTCAGAAGTTACAGTAAAAGCGTGGCCATGTTTAGAAACACCGCAGAACGACTGTTATGAAATAGGCTAAAATGCAAAATTCACGAAAACTGCACAAAGTTATTCAATCAATTGTTGTACAATCATGGATCTTTTTGAATGTGAAACGTAATATTACTAAATGAAGCGATATCGTGACCCGAAGCCTGAACTAGAAGGAAATTGGATCTACCTGAAAATAATAATGCATTTTACGTAAGTTAGAAAGATGGAGATACAAGTTGGAAGTAAGTTCAGGCCTTGAAAAGAGCGAATAAAATTTTCCTTTTTTTTATGAGCGTTAATTGTTAGAGATCATACCTTATCTTGCGTTAGTAACTGGAGTTCATAGACATTTACAGTGCGCATGTTGCCGACCATCTTAAAAACATGAGGTCCTGTTTACAAACAGTGGCTGTCCCAATATTCAAGCAGGCACTGCTCGCACTGACTAATGGGGTCAACGCCCCACCTTTCGCACTTGCAATACCAAAAATATTAGGGGAGAATTTGAAAATAGCGTGAGTATTCTACCATATTTTGGTGCGGAACATTCATGAGTTTTAATTTGAAAATTTGTCCGAATGTTCCACTTCCTCGTGTATTCAAACGACAAACTGATTTTGTCATACCTTCAATATTGCACCACCCACCACCGTAGAAGTATTAACCTCTTCTATTTGGTACCTTTACATTAAGAGTGCGTTTTCATGAATATTGCTTTGCTATTGTTTCTCCAAGGTTTTTTTGAGGGAAATTATATGATTCTTCAAATGTTGTTGGAAAAGAGTACTACATGCAACGTATTGTAAAATGAAAGTACTAAATATTACATAGCGTAATGTTTATGGATATATTTTATTAAATACTTAGTCATTACAGAAATATATCAGAACAAATAGAGCAATCCTTTGAAATAGTATGTGCCAAAGGCGAAATTCAATTCACAGTTGAATTTTCTCCCAGCAAACCCGAAAAGGTAACACAGTTAATATAAGGTGGAAAAGCGTATGTTAAAATTAGAATTAGAGTGTATCAAAATTTTGTGTATTGTAAGTAATAAAGATCGGTTAGTACTTTTGTCGTCTGTTTTATGCACATATGAGAACGGTCAATTCGTTCCTTGTCGTCTGGTTCGTGTCCGTCTTTTAGGAAGTCAAAAAAGTACTGCGTGCCGCTAGTCGCGTCCGCCCTCGTTCCATTTCTCCCTTTATTTTTGAATTTTTGTCAAGTGTCTGTCTTAATCTGTGTCTACACAGACTAAGACAGACACTTGACAACTTGTCGTTGTAGGTCTTATGTCAAAGAGGTTGCACGAACGACAAGAAGGCATAGACCTATATAGGTTTCCTACTTCAGTGCAAGAAGGTTAAGGTACAAGTTTGGTTCAAGGTCCATTCAATCTCTCCTCGCTTCTACGCTCACTCCGCGCTTCCCGCTTGTTTTCTGGCCACACACGAATGCGTTCATCCATTACGCAGGTTATCTAACGACTTTGTTCTTTATTTGTAAGACAACAGTCACCGTTGTATTGTACGGTTTACCTGAAAAAATTCTCGAAAAATTGACAAACGACCGTGATTTTATTAAATCTTATTGCACAGATCTACTCTGATAATTTTAAACGATTTTTCTTACGTTTTAATTCGAACGGAATTTACTTTCAATGATAATTAGATAAAGCGTCTAGATTTGTATAGTTTTTGTTTTAATTACAGAGCGTGTGGCTTTTTATTAACGAAGTTACAGCTCGCCTTTACAACTACCCTACATGCTTGTCAGGCAAAGGGTTGGAACTATCAAAAATGTTTGGCTAATGATGGAATATCATCTACTTATTACCTAAGCATTTTAAATAAAAATCAGCTTTTATACTATTACGCAAGTATAATTATAATTTCATGAACAATAAAGGTGTCTGGCACGGGGTTGCCACAATGTTAAGTGTCTGGCAATGAATAACGTGATTTTGAAAAAATCGCGCTTTATTATTTAATTAATTTAGATCGGTATTTTACACACCTTTAGTACCGTATCTATCAAAGCCACTGTGACCTAAACTTCATAATGGTCTATCGTTCTTACCTGTGTAAGAGCATGCGCTGACAAACTTTCAGCTTTTTAACCGCCTTCAAAAAAGGAGGAGATTCTCAATTCGACTATATGTTTTTNCGTGATTTTGAAAAAATCGCGCTTTATTATTTAATTAATTTAGATCGGTATTT